TGTTTCCAGATTTGCAGATTCAACCAACTGTGGATTGGGTAGTACAGTAGTATACATTTATTGAAAAAAATCCACATATAAGTAGACCCATGGAGTTCAAACCCCTGTTGCTCAAGGATCAACTGTACATTCCAGAGGAAGGCCTATCTTCAGAAGCACTGGCCCCTGACCGGCCCCTGAGAGATAATCTCTGAGCCTTTGGAATACCCTGCCTGATAAGAATGTTTTGTATATCTGAGGCTCTGGGCCATGCTGTATCAGTTTGACTTCTTGGGGGGCTGGAGACTGAGTAACATAGATCAGTCCAGAGTCCTACATGACTGATCCCCAGTAAAAACCCTGGACACTGTGGCTCAGGTAAGATTCCCTGGTTGATAATACTTCACATGTGTTGTCACACATTGCTGCTGGGAGAATGAAGCATGTCCCCATGCAACTCCACTGGGAGGGGAAACCTGGAATCTTGTACCTGGCTTCTCCTGGATTTAGCTCATGCACCTTTTCCCTGTGCTGATCTGTATCCTTTCATGTAATAAACCATAACCGTGAGTATAACAGCTTCTCTGAATCCTGTGAGTCCTTCTTGCTGTGAATTATCAAGCCTGAGGGTGGTCTTGGGGACCCCCAACACAGTCACTTGGCTGACAGTTCCATGGTAGGGGGCAGTGGTGGAGAGGTTGCTTTTGGGAAAGTTAACAGCAGGAAATTTATAATGAAAGGGCTGGAACTGGGCCTTGGAGTGCTCACCAGGTGGGGAACTTTGAAGGTCTCTTATTTGCACCTCAGAGGTTTTATATAGTTGCCCCATTTATCCACTCAAACCATAAAAGTCTGCTGGGCAGTCCCCTTTTCTCCCTCTTTATCCCCCATAGTGCCTAGTGCAGTGCTCTGTGATGTGGGTGGTACCCTACCCAGATAGGTCCCCTTCAGCAGTGAGTCTGCCAATTGCCCAGTGGCTGTGGGTTTGCCTGCTGAATGGCTCACGGCTGCTCCTAGGAGAGCTGCTTTTGGTGAATAGGTTCTACTCCTCCACCTTACCCTCACAGCCTGCAACCAGGGACTGGCTGACATGGAGGCACAAAAGGCTGTCCTCTTTTCCTCAAGGTGGGGTCAATTCCATGGTGCAATTTGTGCTCCAGAGCTCTCTGTGGGGTGGAGCTGAAGCTGGTTTTTAGCCTGGACCATGTTCTTGCTGAGTGTTCTTCCCCATCCCTAATCTGCATCCCATACTCTCCCTTGTCTTCAGGCATCCCCTCCATCAATCATTTACTCAGGAATTCCCATCCCAGGATTCCTGAGAACCAAGCCAAGACGGTAGTGACTAAGCTCTGATGGCCATTGGGACCCCTACAACCATATTTTGATGCATCTCAGCCTGGCTCACAGTGTCCTTGTTTCTGAAAAGGAATTTCTGAGTCATTTAAAGCTCTATCTTAGTTTTGAGCCCATGAATTAAAGTGGAGAAGATGTAAGCCTTGTTTTGGTCCAGACAGAGTGTGGAACAATTGTTGGATGGGAGGTTTTGCTCTTAGACACAAACTTGTTCTTTCCCATAACAGAGCCTGTTTGCAACAAGCCTGTCGACTAAGATTGACCAGAGGGACTGGGTGAAGTAGGTGCTCCGAGGGCCAATCTGATCCCACATTGTCATTCCCATGGGAATTAGCCACTGGGCGCTCAAGTAACAAGGCCTATGAGTGTTAACGTTCCTGTTAGTCAAGAATGTGCAGAGCAAGAAAGAGACATCAGTGGAGACTAAGTAACTTGAACTCAGAATGAACTTGAACTCAGAATGTCAAAGTCTGGAAGGGTTTTTTATGGTCTTCGTGAAGTTCTTAGTGTAAAAAGCAAAATTCAAGCCTCAGGGATCTAAGTGGCCCTATGCACAGGCAAGAAAAGTGCTCCTGCGCTCACACCACAGGCCTGCCAGTAGGTTCTGACACAAAGACCCCCATTGGTTTGACACCACATCTTCTCAACAGTGACAGGGATTGCTGATCCCAGAGTTTGATGAGCGGGACTAATGGCTGGGACACTGATGCTGGGCATGGGATGTTTAGGAGGTTGAAAGGAAAAGCCACGGGTAGCTTAGGTAGCAACCCAGCTTAGGTAGTACCTCCAGCTTCTTTCACCCCTACTTGCTGAAGCTTTATGAAAGTGCAGCTTCCTGCCCTGTGACCAGTTTTAATTGTTATAGGCCGGGAGGACGGGATAGGAAGGGTTGAGAAAACCTGGGTGTATTGCCAACACTAGGAGATGTTCTCTGTCTGGGTCCTGAACACTCTTCAACGTTAAATCCCGTTGTTGACACCTGTGGGTGTAGTTGGTGCTCTACCGAGATCCCCTTTGTCCTCATCTTTCTGTGCGTGCCACTCCAATTTCCACCTGCCAGCACCTGTGTCCTTTTGCCTGTGGCCTTTCTCTGTCCACTGGAGCCTGTGCTGCAGTGCAGAACAGGCCAGAAGTGCTGGGGAAGTGACAGCCAGGAGCGTGTTCATCAGTCAAGGTTGGGCAGGGTGGGAAGGCCCTGAGGTTCCTTCCACTCTGCCTAATGGAGCTCCACACCGGAACAAAGCTGCTTTGCCCACAGTGGTGACACGCACCCTTTGTTGGCTTCTTTCCCCTCCCCATCACTTCCCCATCACCTCTCAGTGTCTCCTGAGGTCATTCCTCCCACCCCCAAATTATTTGCACTTGATTCTTTGTCTCAGAGTTTGCTTCTGAAGGAAACTAAGCCAGTGCCCCATTTGACTTTCCTTACTGATAGAGCCCCAAGCTAGGAAGAAGCTATCGGACCAGACTATCCTTGGTCAGAAGGTTTGGAATGGGCTCCAGAAGTTGGTTTGAAATCTACTATATGGACACTGGGCCTGACCCAGGTGATTCTGGAATGTCTTCCCTTTCTACCAATCTGTGTAGATTCTCCCCTTGCCTCCCCTGCAACTGCAAACTCTCGAAACGCTGGCCTTCATGGGTGCAGGGAGAAGCCAGCCAGGCTCCAATGGCTCATCTGCTGTTAAAGACAGGATCAGATAATGCGTAAATGAATGAGAGAGTAAGTCAATGAACAAACGAATCTGTGTTCCAATGAAGCTTTATTTGGCCCATCCTGATCAAGTTTAATAATGTTTAATAGATTTTTTAAGAACATGAGTAAGTAATAGCAATTCCTCTGTAATAACAATTATATATGAACTCCTGGTCAAGGTCAGCAGCTTGCTCCTATACCAAAAAAGTAAAGCCACCCTTTGAGGACAAATGGCACATGAGGAGTGGTGTACATTTCCTTCTCTTTAAAACAAAAAAGAAAGAAAAGAAACCCAGACACTTCATATTTACATATTTTCCATTTAAAAATTGGTCAGTATGGTTGTTTTTAAATATCAGTTTCTAACGTGTTGCAGGTTTCAATGCACAGATCCTAGTTAGCTGATTAGATTTAAGGTGCTGTTGAGGTGAGGGTGAACCCAGCCTAAGCTCAACACTGAGGAATCCTCTGTTTACAGACTGGCTCCTGTGGGCATCTTTGGGGGAAGCTGAATGCCAGTGGTGGAAATGGCAGAGCTTTTCCAGGGGACTGGGCTCCATGTTTCTGCAGAGGGCCTGCTGTGCCCACACACCATCCCCCCTCAGGCTCTGTGTACAAGTGCACCTTTGGTTTGGCGTGCTCCGAATTCATCCTGGCCTAAGCTAGGAGGGACATGGTGGCCTCCAGTCCTTTCTTTTGTCGTGGGGTCCCCATGCTGGTGCCTGACCCCTGAAGGCCCTCAATGTTGGTACCCCACCTTTCATACCTTCCTACCCTTCCGGATTCCCTGTCCCCAAGGCCTCTTGCTCTCCAATGCATTTTTTCAGGGCCTGCTCTTTGCTGGGGCTAAATGGATAATCAAAATCAAGGGCAGCATTAATGAAGTCGGATGGGCCCTGTGTGAAATCTTCTCTCCTAACACATTTGCTCTAGGCAGGCACCTCACTGCTCTCCACCAAATGAGCAATTCATGCCGAGAACATGAGTTCCCAAGGTAGGCTTGGAGTGGGGCTATGAGTATGGGGGTTGGGGTGTGGGGCAGGCTGGAGGGATTCTTGGAATTGCTGTCTTCAAACTCGGCCGCGTATGACATTCCCTCGGGAGCAAGAGCTGTGTCATTGTGTCTGTGCGTGTGTCAGGAAAGTGCATAGGAAGTTCTGCAAAAGGTGTGTGCACAGGCCTGGGAGAATGGGTTATTTTACCCACAGAGCCCAAACTGGGCTGGTCTGCAACCAAGATTTCAGACCACACGGGGTGAGGCAAATACTACAGGGGTGAGGCAGATGGGAATATTTACGTACTTGAGGAGCCAGAAAAAAAGATGCTTGGTGACTAAGGGAAAGAAGCTGGCTCAGTTTCCAGTTTCAGAGTTCAAGGGGCATTGCTCTGAGTAAAAGCATGTAGAATGGGTCAGATGGTAATGGACAGGGAAGAAACATCTTGAACCAAGTTTTCTGAGCGAAAAGCCGGAGTGACGCCAGTAGAGGAAGACACTGTTTAGTGGACAGACACTGGCCTGGGGTTCAAGGCTTTCCCTGACACTGACTAGGCCCTGAACTTAGAGTCACTTTGCTTCTCTGGGCCTCACTGTCCTTCCACACCTGTCAGCTGAGGCTAGTTGGGCCAGGTGGTTCCAACACTCTGCCTGCAAGGTTCCACTGCACACAGCCACCCAGGTGGGGCCTGCAGACTGCTAAGACATACTTCTGCCCTGTACACTGCCACTTATAAAAGCACAGGGGCCTCGTCCTCACTGGGAAAGTGATCAACCCCCAATCTCGGCTCCTGTTCAAACCCACTCCCAGAGGTTAAAGGCTAGTTATTAAGGCAGTTTAAGAAATGGACATTCCTCTTGCTCCTCGGATCCTTTCTGTGTTCTGCTAACCCCAAGGCAGCAGAGAGGGGCGGCAGGGGTGGTGGAGATGCCAGGGAGGTGGCCTTCGGGATGGCCTGGAGCGCCCCTTCGCCGCCCTCACCACCTTTCTTTGGAGAAGGCCTCAGTCTGCACGAGATCGCCAGGGTGCTCGGATATGCAGGCGCCGTTGAGGTCGCCCAGTTTACTGTCCGGCAGGTCCTCGGGCTTGGTGCAGAGCTTCAGGGCGCGGGAGATGAACACGTCCAGGTCGAACTGGGGGCTGGCGCCCCCGTCGATGGGGGCCGGACGGCCGGGTGGGGAGGCCGACAGGCGACGCTCGGGGCCGTCGGGGGGCGGGCTGGCGCGCTCGGGGACGCCCTGCGTGCTCTGGACCCACTGCGCGATCTCCAGGAAGAGGCTGGCCGGCTCTTCGTCGCGCGGCCCCGCGTCCGCCGCCACCGCGGCGGTGGGGGGCGCCCCGGCCGCCTGCTTCCAGTGCGACAGGTCCAGGATGAGCTTGGGCTCCGAGTAGTGGTGCGGCTTGTTGTCGCGCCACAGTAGCTTGTCCAGGTAGGACGGCGACCCCACCTTGTAGTCGCAGGAGCGCCCGTAGTCGGCCTCGAAGGCGCGCTCCATGGACGAGTGCGACTGCTCCAGGAAGCGCTCCGAGCTGCTCTGCGAGTCCTTGCGCGGGTCCACCTGCACGTCCTCCCCCAGCGGCGCCGAGCCCGCGCGCGGGTCGAGCTGCACCTCGCTCGCGTCCTGGTACCTGTCGGGCCGCCACTCCAGGTCCGACGACAGGCTCACAGGGTACCTGCAAAGGTAAGACAGGATGGTGATTGGACCCTTCCAACCGGGTTGGCTTTGTGGAGGGAGCCAACACCCCCCCCCCCATCCCTGTTTGCCACCCACAGGCCGGCTTTCCATTCCTTCCCAGTCCCTCCAGCTCCTTCCCTCACCTCCCAAGGTGGGAGGGTGATGGGACAAAGTAACGGTGAACCTCCAGGGCTCAGGCAGAAGGACTGATTGCCCGGCTTAACTCTTGTATCCTTTTGTATTCATTGAATATCCTACAAATATTTCTTGAGCACCTCCTATGTGCCAGACGGTGTTCTGAGCATTACCAGACACAGCAGGGAACAAAACAAAACCCCTCTCCTCATGTGATGGTACTTTCTAGTGGATGCACCTGTGCGGTACTCCTCAAACTTTGATGTGCACACAGATCACCTGGGCACCTTGTTGAAATGCAGTTGCTGATCCAGTAGATGAGGCAGGGTCTGAGAGTCTGCATTTCTAACAGGCTGCCAGTGATGCTGACTCTGCTGGTCCCTGGCCCACACTTTGAGTAGCAGGGCCCTAATGAGGGCTTCACAGCCTTGGCTCAGATTAGAATCACTTGTTGGGGGGCATTAAAAATAAAATTCCATGCCTGCCCCGCATCTCCAATGCTGATTCAGGAGGTCCAGGGAGGGGCCCAGCATCTGCGTGGTTGTCAAACCTCCCCAGGTGTTTCTAAGTTCCAGCCAGGGCTAAGAACCCCTGCCATAGTGGATCTGGTTGGAGGCCCTGCAGCACCTTGCGTAGATGCTGAGCAGGCAGGGCGTACTGAAAGATTACAGACACCCTCAGGAGAGGCCAGAGATCCTTGGAATTCTGCCCTCCGTCAACTGTCCTGCGGCCCTGAAGAGCCAAGTCTGCTAGCCAAGAGCAAATGAAGGGCAGGTGGGCAGGCCATCAGCTTGGGCTGAGCCCTCCCTCCCTGTGCCAGGTGTTCTATGCAGAATTGAGGGGGCGGGGAGAGGCAGGGAGCCCAGGGGAAGCCTCAGGCAGCAGCCAGCCGCTCCCAGAACAGGAGGCCTAGGGCTCACACAGGAAGAACCAAGGACAGGCAGGTTTGGCTGTGTGACCGGGCAGGCGGGCAGCTGCAGTCCACGCCTTGTGGTTTGCGAGGCACAGGAAGGTCCCAGTTCTCCCCACCCTCCCAGTGATGCCATTAACATAGGAGTCACTCCTAGAGGTGAACACTGCCTCCTCCCATGAGGGTCCTTGAAATTGCAGGGATTTCTTGGAGGAAGAACTTGTGAAGCCCGTCACCATTGGCTGCTACATGCCAAGGGCCAGATGTAAGGTGTCTGCAGTCTCCAGGCAACCCTGTGGAGTGTGTGCTACCACCTGCTTCACAGATGAGGACACTAGCGTTCAGAGGTAAGCAGTTTGCCCGAAGCAGCAGGGCCTGTGGGAAGGGGTTTGTCATTGTCTTTGTTGCCCGCCTTCCTCATGCAGGTGTGATGGGACAGGTTGGGAGCAGAGGGGCACCAGGTTTAGAAGTGGTCAGAGTTGATGGGCAGGGGCCAAAGAAACCCTGCTACAGTCTTCCTGACACCAACGCCATGCCATAGCCATGAAAAGCAGAGGACAAACCCTGCATAGCCAATGCTCCGTGCCCCCAGGTGCTGTGGAGTGGAGGACGAGGGGCTGCAGGAACCACAGTCAAGGGCAGGGCTAGCACGGGGGCGGCAGAGGAGAGAGTCTTCATTAATCTCTATGTGCTGGCAACTCTTGATAACAACAATCAACAACAACAAACCAACAAACCTGTCCTGAAATAGCAACGTTGCCCTGACCCTCCCTCGGAGCCTCCTTAATCTGAAATCCATCATCTGTCAAATGACTGGAAAGGAGAAACTGCTCATCTGTCACTTATGTAACTAGCTGTCACATTCTCGCAACAGCAGCGCTCCCACTTAGGCCCCCTCGGAGTCCTAGCTTCTAAGCCCTCGACTTTTATTTCTAAACCGAGCGGCTCCCAGTGCTTCCTTCCAGAATTAGCAGATGGTGATGCCCAAATGTTTAGGTGCCTGATCTAGGAACATCAGAACAGGAAGGGACCTAAGAGATCATTGTGTGCTTATGTGGAGATTGTCAAAAACTGCATCTTCTATCCAACTCTGATTCATTGGTAGTGACTTCCGGGCACACTGTGTTGAGAAGGATTCTGAGGCCCGGCTCAGTTTAGCAGGGAAGAGTCCTGTGATTGCTTGGCAGTGTCTGACATGGGTGCAGATTGGGGAGGGCCCACATAGGCCAGGAATTAGGTGTGTGACACAATGCCAATCTCTAACCTCTCTGAGCTGTGGCTTCCTCGTGCGTCAATGAGCGATAATAATAATGGTGCCCCTTTACTGGCATCTCAGGAGGTGCAAATGATGTGAACGGCATGAAGGTGTTGTGTGGTGGTAAATGTCACATTGTTTTCTTGTCTTGCGTTGCTGCATTTTGCTTTTCTGGGGCAAATTCCCAGCCTACTAGACGTGAGCTCTGGCTGTGGGGGCTCATTAAATGCTTGCCCGACATTGTATTGAGCCCTGTGTGCAGTACACTCGGGGTGGGTTGGAAAGCTGGTGGTGACTGGTGTTGCACAAAGGCAGGGCCCGACCACGCATGCAGGACATAGCTGGTCATCTACCAGGAATGTCTGGGGACAGGAGAGAAAGGCAGGAGGCTAAGCTGGGGAAAGCGCCCTATGGGCTGTAGAACTTGGGAGACGGAAGGAAAGGTCATGGAGGATCAGAGGCAAATAGAAATGAGAGGACGGCAATGTGGGTTCCAGACTCCAGGGCTGGAACCGCACCTGTCCCAGTTGGAGAGCTGGCTCTGGTTGGCGGCCATCAGCAGGATGTCGTCAATCTCATCCTCTATGCGGAAGGGGTGCTGCGAGGTGGGCTCGTCCTCGGGGCAAGCGTACGGGCTCATGTAGGGATGCTGCAGCCCCATCTCGGCGGTCAGGCGATCCATGGGGTTAAAGGTCAGGATCTTCTCCAGAAAGTCGATGGCTGTGGAGAGCAGAGCAGGACAGGAAGGTCATTTGTGCCCTTGCCAAGCTGAGAATAAGACTCCTCAGCATACGGACACCCCCTAGTGTTTGTACTTTTCCATTTGTCAAAAGGCTTTCGGATGTTTCCTTTCTCAGGATCCTCACCAAAATCCAGGGACAAATTCAGAGCAGCCGCTGCTTTCTGACTTCGCTAATGAGTTAATAGAGGTCCAGAGGGGTACAGTGACTCAGGTTACAGGAGGTCCAGGGCTAGAACTCTGCCTTGGGCTGGATTTCCCCAGAGACAAGGAATGGGGTGGAGGTAGTTTATGTGGCAGTGGTGCCAGGAAGCACCGGTAGGGCAATGGGGAAGAAGCCAGTAGAGGATGTGCCAATGAACCGTTCCTGCTGAGAGCCCCTGGGGCTCCGTTCCACTGGGTCCTCCAAGAGACAGCATGGGACACACCTCAGAGATGGTCCCACTTCGGGGGCAGGGGAAGCTGGAGTATCTCCATCCCCACCCTCATCTGTCATGGGTTGAGTGCTGCTGGAGTGGGTGGAGGACCCAGCAGCAAGAAGGCTCAGTGAGAAGGGTCGCCGTGGAGCTAGGCGGGTGGGACAGAGCCTGACAGCCCAGGGCTCCTAAGTCCAGAGCCCTTTCTACTATATGTTGCCCCTGGAGGTTTGACAAATAAAGGCCATCTTCAAAATATTTATCCCCTGGGCTGAAGCCCCCATGCTGTGCCAGGCAGTAACGCTTCAGTGACTATAGATCAAGGGGAGGACCTGGCAGCTGAACCTGGGCGTGGAAACGGGCACTCAGGAGCCCTGTGCGGTGGCTATTTGCCAACCAGCGTGAAGGTATATCAAGATGGCAGCCACCTGTAGGGCATTGTGGGTGTGCACTGGCTGAATGTCACCTCCGCGCACAGGTGCCCTTTGTCCTGAGGGGGGTAGGGACACCTGTCTGCCCTGTGAGCTCAGCCCCGGGTTATCTCAGGGCAAGTCCGGTCTGGAGGTTTGTATTCCTTCTCAGCCCTGGAGGCTCCGCTTAAACCATGGCTTGGCTAATCAGATTGCAGCCCACATGGAAAAGGAGGAAAGCAGCTGAGCTCAGGGCCAGGCTTCTGTGCCCTCTGAGGGGCTCCCGGGTGGGCCTCAGCCTGCACCATTACTCTGCCCCTCACACCAGCCCTGGACCTCTCTGCGGGAAAATTCATCAGTGATTCCAGAAATCGATGGATTCTGAAGGTCACTGGCCTCCCAGGAGGATGCAGTTCTGTTCCATAATCCTAGACTGAAAGATCGGTTAAGCAGCAGTAACTCTGATCCCTCCCCAGTGCTCGGCGGCTCAGGGCATGCTTCTGGGCCCAGGGCTGCAGACCTGAAAGAGAATCAGCCTCACAGATTCCCAGGACTGGGAAGAATCAGGCAGTGCAGGGCCCAGCTCTGCCACTGCCCAGCTCCAGGATGGGCAGGTCTTTTCTTCTTTGGGCTCCCAGCCCCTCGCTCGGCCCCGCCTACCACCCTGAACCTTTTGACAAGGAAGTGAGAGAGTTGGAGCTCTAAACGGTGGCAGGCATCATCCCCATCATCATCAGTATTAAGAAAGACCCAGCGAACGCTGACGTTGGAAAATGCCAGCCCCGAAGGCCGCTTCACTGACTCTAGTAAGGATGAGAATCTCCCCTTACCTCTCTCTGACAGCTGGTCCTCCAGCAGGTGCCCAGACACTTCTGGGAAGCCCAAGTGTTAGAAAATCCTGCCTTATAGCAAACCTAAATCTGCCCCTTTAACTCCTGCCCTCGAGCCTCGCTCTGCCCTCTCTGGTCCCCCCATGTCAGCGTGCTCTCTCTTCCCCATGACTGTTCCCATCATGTTTCAAGGCAGCAGTCATGTCCCACGCAAGCCTCCTGTCCTCCTGGCACACAACTGGCCTACATCTCCTAGCCTCCCCCGCAGTTCGGTGTGGCCGTGTGACTGGGGCCAATGGGAAGGGGCTGGAAATGATGTGTGTACCCCGCTTCCAGGCCAGACCCATAGACACCTCCTGCAGGAGTGTCTGCTCTCCCTTCGCCTGTCTTCGGCCGGAAGTTGGTGCCCTGCGGGTAGGGGGGAGCCTTGAAAGTTACGATTGAAGATGTCACATGGCCAGCATCCCAGGCGCGGCCCCCAGGTTCCCCCACTCTGTCTGAACTTGAGTTGAGCAGTGAATACACAGCTAGCGGGTAAGCCGCAGAGACTTCAGGTTTATAGGCTACAGCACTGGCTTCACCTTAACTCATAACCACACCGCCCCGCCTCCACCAACTCCTTTTCTCTAAGTTCAACCTCCCACATGTTTTCTTTAGTGCTTCTAATATAATGAGGCTTCTGTACAATTGTGTCACCTCTCTGTGGCCCCAGTGGATTCCCAGCTGGACTTCTCAGAGCCCCCGGGATCCTCAGGAAGGATTCTCAGGGGCGTCTCTGGAGATCAAGAGGCAGGTGGGCAGGGCCCCTCACCCCTCACCCCTGCTGCACCCAGAGGACTCCTTTCCCTGTTTTGTCTATTAGATTTCCTCATCAGCTCTGTCCTTTGTGATATAGTTTCTTCTTGTAAGTGGAGCTCAGAAGTGAACGCCCTGGCGTGGTCTCAGGCCTGCTCCCTTGTCCTGAACCTGTGGTGTGACGGCTGTCTCGGCTGCTGAGGGATACAGTCCGCCCAGACTCTGTCCATCGAGCCTCTGAGGGTGACAGCCAGAGAGGACTCCCACCTCTTCCCAGGCCTACGGGGCCTCACATGGACAATCCAGGACAAACCGAGAGTCACCAACTGACTCTTAGGGACAGGTGCGCGTGATACCCTTTCTCCCACTGAAGTTTCATTTCAGCCATACCTCATTACCCTGAGGCCAGGCTGATTGGGGCCACTTTTCAAGCCCAGTGGCAGACAAGAGAATTGTGGTTGAAGCTGGCGCATTGGGAGGGTGAAGCTTTCGTGAACATCTGTTTGGCTACAGGATCAAGTCTGTACACGTCCGCTGGGTATTCAGAGCCCTGCAGTCTCTTGGCCCTTCTCACCTATCCAGCTTCACTTCCTACAGTCAGCTTCCCGCTGATCTGAGCCCTCACCAGTCCTCCAGGCCGGTTCTTTATCCCTCTCAGTGCTTGGTGGCTCTCTTCCCCTCCCCAAATACCCAGAGCTCTCGTTAGCCCCTTAGGATGTGTTCCTTCATCTGCTCATCTCTGACGTGTACTCCATCTTCCCAGCTAGACCATCACTTATGTCTCTGATCTCTGCGAGACAGGCCCACCACACTCAGAGCCAAGTCACCGAGGGACTGCTGTGCGTGTGGTGGTTTGGGGGATGGGGACATGGGTGACACATCCCTGATCCAGAATTCCTGAGAATTCTGAACCTTGTGTCACATGGTGGGATTTCTACAGAGGCCTAGGAATCAAAGTAAATGTGGATGGGCTGAGTCTTAATTTGTGGGGAATCAGATTGCCCCCTCCCTTAAAGATGGGGAAACTGAGACAGATTGAATGGGGATCATGGCCAGAGAAATTGTTAGTCCAAGTTCTTGGTTTCTTGATGGAGAGGAGCGTGGCAGAGACAGCTGTACCCCATGTCTGTTCTCCTCTTTCATAGTAATGGACACAGAGTGGCAGTGGAGTAAGTGTCCACTTCCCAGCCTCACTGCAGCGAGGTGGGACCATGTGACTAAGTTCTGGCCAACAGGACACGAATGGAGGTGAGGTTAAGTCAAGGGAACTGCCCTCCTTCCCCGCCTTCCCCCAGCTGGTAAGGGCAACACCCTAAGGTGGCAGAAATACAAGACAGAAGGGGCTTGGGCCCTGGTAGAGCAGGTCTACCACATTGGCCCTAGACTATCTACTTTGGATTATTATATAAGAGAGAAATAAACTTAACTTCTTTTTTCTTAAATAAGAAATACATGTTATTTAAGCTGTTGATAATCTGGGTTTCTTTTACAATTGACAAGACCGTATCCTACCTGATATAGGGGTTTCCTAAGGGAGCCTCTGGCAGGTAGAAGGCTGGTGGCAATGTAACATCTCAGATGATGGAGCAACTATCCTATGCTAAGGGCTTTACAAATTCTGTTTTACTTACTTGTCACGGTGACCCTGTGTGTCATGTATTATTACATCCATTTTACAGTTAAGGAAACTGAGATGCAGAGAAGTTAAGAAACTTGCCCAAGGCCAAACAGCTAGTCACTGGTGGAACTGGGAACTGAGCCTGGGTCTGGCTTTGAAGCTGATGAAACCATACCATGCCTTACAGAGGGAAAAATAAAGGGAGATGGAAGAGAGGGAGGGAGGCAAGTGAGAAAGAAGGAAAAGGAAGCAAAATCAGGGGTAGAGTGTGGAGGACCAGCTGTGACCGCCCTGAGGGTGGCCTGATGGCCGAACTCAGTCTGGAAGTAGCGAGGGCAAATGCCCGCTGCCAGGGGTCCCCAGCTTCTGTGTCTAGGGACTCTGTTTGGTCCTTTTGGAAGAGACTGCCTGCCCCAGCCCCCCAGGGTGAAAGCAGAGTGCTGCCTCCAGGTGCTGGCTTGGCCGTCGGACTCTGGTACCTTCGCTGTTCACTTCGGGGAGCAGCTTGCGCAGTGGCCTCTTCACCTCCCAGGCGCTGCTGACGAAGGAAGGCATCACCTTGAGCAGCTCGTCCTTGTCTTCCTCCCGGATCACAGGGATGGTCTCCAGGATGAGCTGCATCTGCTCCAGCTCGTGAGCCCCTGGGGAGGTAAACACCAGATGGTTGAGCGTGCTGCCCACGTGGCTGGCGTGTGTGGAAGCTCCCGGGCCGCTCTACGACCCTGGGGCAGGGGGACCAGAGCTGGGCTGGGAGCCAGGGAACCTGAGTTCACTCTGCCACTAACTTGCTGTGTGACTGTGGGCAAGTTGCTTGCCATCTCTGGGGCTTGGTCAAATGTAGAAAGAAGGGGTAGTCTCTGGGGCCCCATCCGTTCCCCTAGCATTCTGTGCCTCTGGAATGGACCAGTCTCATATAGCCTGAGTCAGCCATCGCTAAAGTGATGGGAACAGCCTGGCCCAAGGCTTTCCAAATGCTCTTTCCCATATGCCTCTGTGCATGTCCTTTACTGGGCTGGGGAAGGAAGTGATTTTAAGGCTAGGAATGAGTCTTACCTTTTGGATTTCCATTAGGAAGAAAAAAAGTCAGGAAGAACAAATTAAGCTTGGGATGTGTCATGAGCACACTGCCTCTGTGCTCCTTTGGGCAGAGGGAGGAAGACAGACTGTGCCAGGTCTGTGGGACAGGATGGAGTCGAGCATTCAAGCACTCATTCACTTATTCATTCATTCAACAAATGATTATTTATGGAGTGTCGTCTCCATAAATGGAGTGTAATCTCCATGAATACCATCCTCATCCGTAAGAAGCTTCAGGCTTTGTGCATCTTGGAAACTCAACTCCTCTTCTACGCTTAGGCCATCACGGATGCTGCTTCAGAGCTTTGACGCTGCTGGGATGGGTCAGGTCTGAATCCTTGCTGCCCCCTCTGACTTCCAGGCTGTTCTTACCTCCAGTTCCTCCATTTTCCCTTTTGGCATGAGTAGCCTTGCCATTTACCTCTACCAGGTTAAATCCAACTAGGCCCCGTCTTCCTGAAGAAATGCCCCTGACTCACCCAGCTGCACAGAGCTCCCTCCCCTTACCACCGATTCCCATGGGGTCCCAGTCTTCCAGAAGCTGGTAGCCAAGGGCGGGGCTCTTCCGTGTCCCCCATGATGCCCTGTGCGGCACTAAGCACTTGTGGATGCTGTGAGCGCTAACCCAGAAAGTGCCTACGGATCAGCATCCGCTCTGAACGAGTCCCTTGGCCTCTCCCTGCAGTGGGCTCGTGTAGGCTCAGTTCAGAGACTCTGGGAGACTTGTGGGGTCCCCTCTCCAAATGAGCACTCCAGACCGACCTCTCACAGTGGCAGGGAGAGGGGAGGAAGGGGCTGAAAATGTAGGACGGGTGTTTTCAGGGGTCAGTCTCAAGATGTTCGAATATACACGATTATTGATTTTGAAAGTTCTGTGCTCAAAAGGCTTTTTTTTAGCCTCTCCAGTATTTTGCCTGAAATGGTTGATAATCAGGTACCATAAAAGCTGCAGAGGTGACGCCAAAGAGAAAGACTAGCATGTCTGTGATTAACATGTGTTTCCCCCGCCCCGCGCTTTTTTTTTTTTTTTTTTTGCGGTACGCGGGCCTCTCACCGCTGCGGCCTCTCCCGTTGCGGAGCACAAGCTCCGTATGCGCAGACTCAGCGGCCATGGCTCACGGGCGCAGCCGCTCCGCGGCATGTGGGATCTTCCCGGACCGGGGCACGAACCCGTGTCCCCTGCATCGGCAGGCAGACTCTCAACCACTGCGCCACCAGGGAAGCCCTGTTTTCCCCTTTTATTGAGCTACAGCAGAGGAGAAGGAAGGTGCCTGGGTAGCAGCTTACCAGCAAAGAGCATCCTCCCCGTGAGCATCTCTGCCAGGATGCAGCCAGCGGCCCACATGTCAATGGCTTTGGTGTAGTTGTTAGGGGAGAGGAGCAGGCGTGGTGAGCGGTACCATTTCGTTACCAACCCTTCTGACAGGTAACCCTGGAAGACAAAATCCAGGCTTCCAGTAATCAGTCATTTGTAGACACCCCCCCTCACATGCCTCTCCTCCTTTCCCTTCCCAGGGAGATAGGACCCCTTTCACTCTCCATCCTTTCCCATTGATCGTCTGGTTAGAGGGGTTTAGGCAGCGTTGTGGGGCTCAGAGGCTTTGGTGGGGGAATCTTATGAGGCCCTGGCGTTCTCTTCTGTGGAAAAGGATCCAGGATGACACTATTTAAGAAGCAGTGCTTTCCCAGCCCATCTTGATGTAATGACGCATAACACTCTACCCTCATCTAGTAAGAAGATGGAAAAGTAGGAGCCATACTTGAGTTTGTTATCACCATCAACAGAGTAACGATGAGACAGTGGGATTTGATTTATTCAGTGGCTGAATGTCAGAAAGAGCTGTAAGATTTAAATCAAGCCAGTTGCTTTGGTGCAGATGATTAAATTAATTCTGCCGTGATGTCAGACGCCAAGCCCCTGCTGGGAATGGATGAGGCCAGCTTCGTAATGGGTGCGGGTGAAGGGCTTTTGGAAGCAGCCCTAAAAGGCAGAGTGGACACAGCTTTGGTTGGCCCAGAGGATTCTGGGAGTTCTACAGAGTGTCTTTGGGGGGATAGATGTTCTAGCTGATTTCAGCCACTGCTCAATGTGCGGTCTGGCGTGGAATCCCTCACTACGGGATATAGTGACAGCATAGGTGCTTTAGCACAGATAGGGAAGTATAGCCAGGCAATTCGGAGCTTGTTCTCTATGTAATTCACAAAGCTGGCCCAACAGTGGAATCTGGGAAATGTCTGTTGAATTACATGGAACGGTCTCTCTAAATTGAAAAAATAGACCTATTTGGTGGTCAAGGTCAGATAATTAGCACCAGGGGGATCCAGTGAGAAATTCTAGGGACGGTTTTGTTATTTGCTGTTGTAATTTCCAATTTAGCATCTAATTTTCCTTTTTGCTGATGTAAAAAGTATCACAGACCTAGGTTAAAAGCAGGTGAAACGTTAGGAGGCCCAAGTACCCAGGAGCTTTCGATCAATTAATCTGAAATCTCGTCACTTGTTGAGCAAAGATTTATTATGTTTTAAACCTGAGAGCCCTGAGTTACAGCAGTTTTCTCTCCTCTGTGGCACATATTTCTTTAGAGCAGGTCCTCAGACTGGTGGAAGGAAGGAAGACAAGACTAAGGTGTACCCATTCCCCAGCCTCAATGCTCCAAAATGAGCTCCTTATAATTTTTAAAATATGCCCCCTTCTCTGTCCTTTGGGCCTTTGCATGTGTACTTGCCAGGGATGGGTGTCCTCACACCCACTGTCCTTCCTGGCTAACTCACACTCAGGCTGCTTCCTCTCAGAAGCTTCCCAGTTCCCTGGGATGAGGTTGAATGCCCCTTCCCAGGAGCTCCATGATCCCTGTCTTGTTACTATTTCTTTACTTCTCTGCAGTTCCACCTTCACCCACCCCACCCCCAGGACCACTAGACTATTCACCCCTCATGGGCAGAGGCTGTATCTTGTTTCTCAGCCATTTCTGCATTGCCTACTGCCAAGTCTGCCTCCTAGGAAATGTCCAATGAACACAGATGGAGGGATGAGTAAGGAACGTCTCACATGGTCTGAGCCCCTTCAAAATGGGGCACCTTCTGGGGGAACCACGGATCCCCTTCTTTAACAGACCTGATTTTATGGAGAGATCCAGTTCCCACTTTCAGTGGTGGATGAGGAGTTTAGAAAAGTTGTCAGCTTTTGCCTTATGCCTTGCCTTCTTCCAGAAAGGACTGGCAAGTGTAAGTGATTTTTTTTGTGTGTGTGTGGTACGCCAGCCTCTCACTGTTGTGGCCTCTCCCGTCGTGGAGCACAGGCTCCGGACGCGCAGGCTTAGCGGCCATGGCTCACGGGCCCAGCCGCTCCGCAGCATGTGGGAATCTTCCCGGACCGGGGCACGAACCCGTGTCCCCTGCCTCGGCAGGCGGACTCTCAACCACTGCGCCACCAGGGAAGCCCAGTAATTTTTTTTTTAAGTCGGGCTTATTGAAGTATAATTTATAAACAGTAAAATTCACTCTTTTTAGGGTATAGTTCTATGAGTTTTGACAAAGCGTAGAATCATGTAACCACCATCATAATCAAGAGACATACAATTCCATCAGCTCACACAATTCCCTCGTGCCCCCTTCTGGTCACCCCCGAGCCCCAGTTCCCTAGAAACCACTGTTTTCCATCCCTTTAGTTTTGCTTGTGCAGAACGAACGTCATATAAATGGAATCACAGCGTGTGGCCTTTTGAGTCTGAATTCTTCCCCTTAGCATAATGCATCTGGACTCATCCACATTGCTGTATGAAGAGTAATCTGTTAGGAGTTTAAGTTTGATTCTAGAAAGGAAAGAGACAAGCCAGACTGTAGAAGCTCACATCTGGGTGGGTGACTTATAAATAAAGAATGGTCCAATTTTATTTTCCAGTCAGAGAAAGACTAAAGCAGCGTACCCAGAGGGGAGGTGACTTAAGGTGAGTTTACTCTGATGTGTAAATGAGCAATCTTTTATGGGACAGAATTCCCTGTAATTAACACCTGCCTATCTGCAGAGTCTGGAGCTGAAGTGGGACACAGGGAGCTTCCTTCTGAAACACCTGCCCTGAAAGTAAAAGAAAGATGTTTGGGCAAGGGTGCCCCAGGGCCAGAATTATGGGCAAGGCCATGATAACAGCTGAGAAAGTTCACCCCTGGCTCTTCCTTACCTTTGAATGAAAACCAAGAACCTGCCAGATTTTTGTCAACTACTAGCTTCTTCCCTCAAGTTACTTGTCCCTCAAGTCAGGGGATTTACTGATATGTTTCAGAAGCCACAGGACAGAGGAGGATTTGGGAAGGTGCAGTGGCTTTTCTGCCAGGCTCTGGAGCAAGGGGAGCCCTGGGGAAGTGGGGGATGGGAACAGAGGGGAGCCTGCATTCCTGGGTCTGTGGGGCAGACACGGGGAGGTGCTGGAGGTCTTGCCCTCAGCTGAGATGAGCCCTGGGTGTCTGAGTGGGAGAGGCACTGGGGCCCGCCGCACAATACTGGTGATCTGAATTCAACAGAGGAGTTTTAGTTGAGTGGATGGGGCAAAAGTCAGAATTTTCTAGAATAAAAAAAATCTTTAAGGATACCCAGGAGTGGAGACTCAGTTTTATCAGAAGGGCCCATAAATCCGTGAGTGTACTGGCTCAGCAGAGATCCTTAAATGGCTTTCCTGCCGGAGCCTGCAGGGTGAAGATAGTTTCAGCTCCATTTGGATGTAGAGGAAGCTGTCTTCAGTGATCAGACATGGTCTCTCCCGGGGCTCGCCCATTGGCAGGCTGACCAGTGGGTGGGACAGCGGGCACAGGCAGGGCGTGTTGTCTCATCACCACTCTGGGGAGACGGGAAGCGGACACTCCTCGGGTCACCCCCTGAGTGTAAGAGGCAAGACCAGAATCACCCTTTCCCTAGTGTCCCAGTTGTCCTGCCAGCCCGTCCCTTGGTGTTTCCAGTGAGAAGGCAACTCCGGAGGCACCACTGGGAGGGGTGGACACGGTTTCCTGTCTAGACCCCACCATGGGGACTTTGGACTTCTTCAGCTATTACTCCAACCAGCCCATTGTGCTGGAGTCATGTCCAGCCAGTGAGAGGCTCTGACTTTGACAGCCTTAAAGGTGTTTGGAAATAATCTGGTAGCAGCTGCCCCAGGAGGAGAGTAATTAGGGACCCCCCACAGATCCAGAGGGAGGGTAGAATTAAAGCTGAGCATTCTCTTTGCTGAAGGAGCAAGGAAACCACACTCAGTCCCAGCTGCCTGCCAAGGAATTCGGAGCAGCCTCCATCGAACTCACCCTGGAAGGGTGGGCACCTGTCCGCTGCTCCGGCGAGCCTGTATTGGGTGGGCTTCAGCTCTGCTCAGCTTGCCTTCTCTGTGCCTCCACTGGCCCAAGCCTGATCTCTTGGGTCTGGGAGTCAGAAGGCTGGAGGAGAAAGCTTGATCCCATAAACTTTCCACGTCACCCTTTAATGCACCTACTGGCACCTCACAGAGGTAGGGCAAATTTAAATAGGGACAACACTCTCCCAAGAATAAAAGCCCTGGGTGTGGGGAGACGCCAAGGTAGCGTCTCCCCACAACTAGGGCGCCTGCCAGCTGCTGGTGGGGACCCTGACGCCCAAGGAGATGGGAGGAACCCCCAAGTGAACCGGTAGGACGCGGGGGGACTGAAGGGGGAGGAGAAGTGGAGGCCAGACAGGATTGGCACCCCTGAGGCTGGGGAGATCAGGAGAGGCAGGCGGGAGGGACCCTCATGAAAGAGCGGGAGAGGAGCTGAGGTTGATCTCCCGGCCCACTCGGGCCGGGGAGCCTGCTGAGCTCCCAGGCCGATACCCCCCCTCCAAAGCCCCCTCCAGGCTGCATGGGTCCTGGGGGCATAGGAAGGAGGCCGAGGGGCGAACAGCAGAGGCAGGCAGGAGGGGCCCTCCCAGACGGGAGGAGCAGGAGAGGAGAGGAGGGCATTTGCCCTGCCCACTCAAGTGCTCCCAGGTGAGGTCCCCTTCCCTCTGAGACCAGCGGTGGGGGGCACGCCTGGGCCCCTTCTGTTCCTTGAGCCTAAGCCCCACTCCCCACAGCCCCCAGGGCCTTTTTCAGCCCTGTGGGTCCTGAGCATAGGCCCTGCCCACCACCAAACCTTGCCCTTGCTTAGACCTCACCCTCCACAGCCAAGGCCTCCCCCCACCTTTTTTTTCTTCCTTTCTTTCTTTCTTTTTTCTCCTTCTTCCTCCTTCTCTTTCTTACTATTGTAGTACTGATGTACCTTCCGGTTGTTGATTCATCTATATTTTTATCTTTATGTTCTTTCTAACATACCTGTTAGTTTCCTAGTCTAATTTTATTTTTTACTTTGTTATTGTTCTCTCTCTGTTTTTTTTTTTTTTTTTTTTTGCCACCCACATGGATTGCGGGATCTTGGTTCATGAGCCGGGGGTCGGGC